AATAAAATAAAATCACAGTCTTGTTCTCATATATTATATTAGATTATATTATTTTATTTCATATACTCTTAATAATAAATTGAATTTTAATTTTATACCAATAATTTTTAGAAAGAATATATTTATAATTCTCTTTCTTTTTGCTTTATTTTTCTGTTTGTGCCCGTGCTCATGTTTGTTTTGATTGTTTTCTGATAGGTATATCTTTCTTGTATAAGCTTTGTAAAATATATTATACTAAAACTTATATTAAATAGAATGAATGGGTTATAAAATAATATAAAAAAGTAACAAATTATGTACACAGTAGAATTTAATACTCAATATATATATTATTTATTAGTCAACCAATAAAGGGTGAGTATGCACAATGAGCAAAACGCATATAGTTTAACCAATAAGTAATGAGTATGCGCAATGAGTAAAATACATGTAGTTTAACCAATAAGTAATGAGTATGTGCAATGAGTAAAATACATATAGTTTAATCAATAAATAATAAGTATATATGATTATTAACTACATTAAACTCTTGGCTGTAAACTAAAGTAAACTTGTATGATTACTAAGATATGTATTTTTAGTCAACCAATAAATAATACATATGCATCATTATTAAGAACTATATATCTTTGCAAACCAGTAAAGCATGTAGCTTCACTGTGAGTAAGAAATATTTCATTGGTTAAAAGACTAGTAGATATGCAAGATTAAACAGAGCTATATTCTCAGTTAACCAATAGAGAGTAAATATTCATATTCATAAGACATATATTTTTAGTCAACCAATAAATAGTAAATGTATATCATTATTAAGAACTGTATTTTTTGCTAACCAATAAAGAATGCAGCCTCAAGATTTGTAAAGTTGTTTTGCAGCTAAATCAAGAAAGGTGCATATGCAAGATGAATGAGAATTAAAATTTCCGTTAACCAATAAAAAAAAGAATAGGTAATATCAGCAGTATGATTCTGTCCGGATCGGCCGCCTATTACGTTCGATCTGGACTGAATGGATATTTCCGACAATCTCGGACCACCAGAATCCAAAAGAAAATAATATCGTAAAAACATATACGATAGTAATAATAACTTTACTTTCTTATAAATATAAAGCTTGTATCATATATCTCTCAAATAATTTCAAAATAACCCATATATCTTGTCTCCTCAAGATTCTAATTAAAATTATATCGGTTTTAAGTTATAGATAATAATACAATATACATTTTAATATATTCTTATAACCGATTTGTTCTACGATATATATATAGTAATTGTTCACAATTACATGGTTCTTTTTTTTTTGTTAATACTTTAAATGTATGATAGGCACTATATATATATTCATACAGGTAAAGCTATGTTTTCTAGTGTGTTTAATATATGCAGTACTATCTAGGTGCGGACCGATTTTTTTATAATTACACTCGGTGGAATTTAATCAAAGAATAATAACCTACAGAATAATATTATCGAGTTATTTTGAAACAGTCAGTATTTATAGTCAAAATTTTACCCTATAACTATATATATAAACTGCTATTGTATCTTGAATACACTGTTAGGTATATATATATATATATATATATTCTTTTTCTTCTCTTCAACATACACTGATACAAACATACATCACAAATCACTATCGATCTATATATTTATATATAGTTCTTACTTTATTTTAGATATACTGTTCAGCCTATTTTCTTTCTTCCCTTCAACACACGTACACGCACACGTACACACACACGTACACGCACACGTACACGCACACGCACATGCACATGCACACACTCAGAGATCTCTCTACCAGTCAATTGGCTGCACCAATACAAAATATACGATATTGTTTATTTCGTTTTATGTCTTTTTATAAACTAAAGGTGCTAATTAGTAATTTGGACAGTGTGCGCTTTTTTGTGAACTGATATTACCACTCGGTGGTGCAGACA